ACGGAATTAACGGAGGGTATAAAAAGTATCGAAGAATATCGAACTCGAACTCTAGATCTCAGCACTTATAGATATAAGTTCGGACCGGACGAACAAAACTGATTGTTGACTTGTTATAGGTTATAATGTGGAGAGCACCTAAAAGTATGCTTTAAATTACTAAATATGAATTTAAAAATTTACTCATGCTTAAGTTCCATATGTTCCATATGTAATTGTTGTTTTCTTTGTGAGATATATGGGAATTCTAAGATTTTCCGGTATGTTATTCTTAAATTTTCGCTCAGTTTTCTTAGTATCCATTTAACACCATGTGTAAAATGTGTTATATTTGCTTGGGCCAAAAAAGTTTGCAACAACTCGAAATATTAGTCCCAGACCCACCATATTATGTCACACACAATCTCGTCGAGCTGAGTCGATTTAGTTCTCGTCCGGCCATGCTTCTTTGTAATACTTACGAAATTTGGAATGAAAGCCTATAGTTCTTGCAAATGTTCACAAAATATTTAGAGGATGAAATGCGTGAAGAAAAAATATTTCTACTTTGTACTCACTCCACAGGTACAGATGTAGATTTTAATACAGGGTTACAGTTTTGAACAGAATAGAAGCTGACTGACAGAGAATCAACGCCCATGAAGCTAAAATCTTGAAATTTGTTCTAGGGTCAGTCTTGTTGCGTTAGCGAGTGATAAGGCTGATTTTTTTTGGAAATACGTGCTAAAAGGTTACGAAAAGTACTAAAACTTATTAAATTTGAATACTTTGTACTGGATAAATAGAATCGGCTAGATTTCTGCTAGGCTAGAGGAATTAGAGTCAATGATGGATGGCAGTCACCAAAGGGTTAAGCTTGTGAAGTGTTCTAAACTTTTAAAATGGTACCATATGCTATTATTATGAAGGGGTAGAGCTAAAAACTTGAAACAAAGTATGGAAAGTTTGATATATGAAGGTGATTTTGGGAATGTGTACAAAATGTGGGTTTTGGAAATGTGTACTACATGTGCACGAAAAGTACTAAATAGTACAATTTGGTATTGGGTAAAAAGATAGTACTTGAAATCTGAAATTTGTGTTAGGGTCGCTGTTCATGTGTAGCCTGGCCGTATGGAGGTTGTTACGGAAGTGTGCATTACAACTGTAAGAAAAGTACTAAATTTGGTATTGTGTGAAGAGATAGAAATAAAATCCCAAATTTGATATTTAGGTTACTGTTTAATATTTGACTTGTGTCTTGGAAACGCGTCATATATTTATTAGAAATGTACTAAAATGGGTATTGGGCGAAGGGATAGAGCTGGAATTGAAATTTGATAACGTGTTTTCTGTTAGTATCTGATATTGAGATATGGAGGTGATTTTGGAAATGTGTAATAAAATAGTACGAAAATTACTAAATAGTATTATATTTGATATTGGTTGAAGAGACTGAGCTGGAATACTTAAATTTGATATATATGCCATTTTTGGTGTCTGTGGTTAAGAGAAGGAGCTGGTTTGGATATATGTACTAAAATTGTACTAAATGGAACTGAAACCATGCCATTTTATATTGCGACAACTGTTAGTTTAGATATGCAATTTTGCAAATAATTACAAAAATTATTCGAAATTTCTGAAATGTGATATTAAGGTCACTGTTGGTTTCTAGGATTTACATACGGACATGTTGAAGGAAATAAGTTATTTGCTTTTCTTTTTTGGTGAATAACAAATTATTTTAATTCCACAGGTAATGCAAAGGATGATCTGTTTCCACTGCTTTATAACGGGTTATTTGGCTCACATATGGGTTCCGAATTTTTGTTGGATACATAATTATTAGAGCTACTGTATTGTTCACACAACATAAAATATACTGATTATAAGGTGAGAACCAAATCAATATACACATATACAATACACACATACCTGAATATGTATTGAACACACCTATACCACGAAAGCAAAAGAGAATGCCTAAATACCTTGCTAGATACATGCATCCATATTATGCTACTGTGCACGTGTTGTGTGTGTGAATGTATTTTTGTGTGTGATATCTGGAAATGACATGAAATTCAAACAATGCAGAATTCAAACGATTTACAATATGAGAATTTAATTACCTTACTGCATCAAGAGAAGACGCAGCAGCAAGCAACGGAAGAGACGATAATGGAATCCCATATTGATGCCGATACAACGACGACGATGATAGAGATGGAGATGCATTGATGTGCGTTGTAGATGGCCACAGGAATGGAACAACGTGCAAATATTTTTCCTTTCAGGTGATGAAATAATTAAGTTTTCTAGACTAAATTTGATATTAAGAGTTGATGAATAGTTAATGAAAAATTTTATTTTCCAAATGTTTAGAAGATTGAATTGAAATGAATATTTATATTTATTTAGGGAGTCGTATAAGTATTGACATTACTTATACGCAGCAAAGGTTTATTCTAAGGTCAAATATTTCAAAAATGGACAACTCACTACGGGATGAACAACACTGTTAAAAAAAATAAATAAATAATAACTACAGGAAAACCTCAGCAGATTATGAAAATAGTGCAAGAATAGAAGACACGTGTATCGGCGTTTCGCCCCTCTTCCACAATTTTTTGAATATGTTGGATTAAAATTTCCGTTCATTTTAGGTATATACAGGGTGAGATGAAAAAACTGCAACCAACTTCAGACTGCTGTCATTTCCAAGCCTATCGCCCGACAGCTGTTAACATTATTCCAGTGACAGCTCATTATGTTGTTTACAAGCGCACAAAAGCATTTTGGTGAGAATTTTCCAGAAAAAAAACTTATTCGTCATAGAATTCAAGCGTGATAGTGTGATTTCTTTATCTTTGGCTGGAAGTGGCTATCGTTAGAGCACTCCAGCATTTAAATGTGAATAAATTTTTTGTGTCTCGTATCACCGCTCGTTACCGTGATACTGGTAGCGTAGCCAGACGTCAAGGAATTGAACGGAAGAAAACGGCAACATCAGCAGAAATGGTTCGAAAAGTAAACGAAGCGACTTGATCGAAACCCGCGTCGCAGTGACCGAAAAATGCCTCGTGAGCTGAACATATCTCAATATTCCATTCGGCAAATATTGAAAAATGAGCTCGGGATAAAGCCATTGAAATTCCAAAAAGTGCCAGAACTTACACCGCAAACAGAAAGAAAATGGACTCAAAGGAGCTAAAGAGTTGCTTCGCTTGGCCGAAAGTGGTGAACTGCCGAATTTGGTTTTCTCCGATTAACCGACCGTGGCATCAGAATAAATGCCGAATATTATCGCGAAAATATTCTGGAGGGTGTATTAAGCCTTGGGAAGGCAAACATTTTGGCCGCTGACCTTGGACATTTCGACCGGATTCAGCACCATCGCACTCAGCACGCGTCACCCAAGAATGGTTACAAAATGAGGTTCCTCGCTTCATTTCAAGCGCACAATGGCTACCAAAATCGCTGGATACCAATCCGTTGGATTATTGTGTTGAAGTATTTTTGAAAGCAAGGTTGGCACTAAAAAGTACCAAAGTGTCGATCACCTCAAGCAAGCGCTTGATGCTATTTCCGACTTTTTTTTAGCTTTCATCCAATAAAATTAAAAAATTTGTTGCAGTTTTTATACCCTACACCACGTAGTGGTAAGGGTATTATGTCTTTGTGCATTTGTTTGTAACATGAAGAAGGAGCGAGATAGATCCATAGTTACTTTTGAGGATCTCCATAGAATCACTTTCTGAGTTGATTCATGCATGTCAGTCCGTCCGTCTGCCCATGTATTCTTGTGAACAAAATGCAGGTCGCATTTATTATCCGATTGAGATGAAATTTTGCACATACCATTTGGTTGGCCCAAGGACGAACCCTATTGAAATTGGAGATAATCGGTCAAAATTTAGATATACCTCCCATATATAACTTTGTCCGATTTACCTTTTATTTTGCACCAAACGTGTAATATCAGCCCGAATAGTACTAAATTAGGCCTTAAAATAAATATGCCAAATTTGATCGAAATCGGTTCAGATATAGCTATAGCTCCCATATATATTGTTCATCCGATTTGTTATTTTTGTCCTCCGCAGCCGTAATATGCACTCTGTAACAACAATATTTGGGCAAATATATCAAATGCAGCTCAGAAATACATTTGCTAAATTTTATCGAGATCGGCTCAGATTTGGATATAGCTCCCATATATATCTTTATCTGATTTCAAATTAATTTTGCACCAAATGTGCAATACATGTACGAATTTAAAAGATACAAATGCTTCGGCATATTTAGTCCTTTGAACTTTAAATTTTAGTTATAATCATGGCGTGTATGATTGCATTCTCCCATAAAAACTTTTTATTGTTATGTGGAGCTCTACTAAATTAACAAAGTGGTGTAGGGTATCAAAAAATCGGCCCCGCCCGACTTTAGGACTTTCTTTACTGGTTTTATATTTCGCTGTATATTTCGAGGTGTTACAAACGGAATGATAAACTTAATTTTATTGTGTAGGGAAAAAATGGAATAGGTTACTTTGCGGTGTAAACTTTCAAAACACCGATACGGATATTTCCTTTATCTTAGCTCTACTTTCGTAATCTGCTGGAATTTTCCTGTTCTTATAGAAAATGCTGTAATCTAGTCGAAGCCCAGATTTCTTGATTGATGGAGAAAGCAATTATTTGGCGTATGCGCCATTTTCAGCTTTTTAAAGAAAAGGACCAAAGAGTCTCCTTTATTGACTCGGAGAAGAGAAAATTTGAAAGACTTATGTCAGTAAATTTGTCGAAGACTTTATATGGATTCTAAGTAGTCTTATCTCTAATATGTCCCAAAAATGTTAAAATTGGCATAACTCCTGATCTAGACTTTTAAAACACATGAACATGGTTCTCATGTTTTTAGCTCCAATTTCATGAACTACTCGGCGTTTCCTCCAATTTCCTGTAATTTCATCGATTCACGGTTTAAATTGCAATTCATTTTCTTTATTTGTAAATCAGTTGTATGCCACAGGTTTACCTGAAAACCTATTTGACTTTAATTACTTCACCGACTATCTGAGTGCAAATTATTTTCGGTCGTTCCTTATTCGACTCATCGAATGCCCTCAAATTGACAACAAGTTTATGGCGACCTTCTATATTGACGGGATATTCGAAGACAGTATCCACCGGAAGGTGCATGTAATGGTAGACGTGCTGGCAAAGAGAAAAAAAATTTGGTGCTTACACCAATACATATGCAATCACCCAATTTGAGACTCACCCCATAAACATTTATGCATTTACGATCTTCCGGAGCTATTCGTTTGGTCCACATTTGATACCAAGCTGAGCTATTGCTATATTGCACACTACAAAAATCATTTACCGCAAATGTCAGCGGTGTCACCTGCCATGCTCCACGTTGAAACTTATAAAGGTCTCCGCGTCCCTATTTGGGAGAATATTATTACATAAAAATAAAATTTAATAACTTGTAATGCCTTTCCTACTTACTTGTATACGATCCGTTGGCTCAACCCCCTCCCATACCGATGTTGAGTTCCCACTGACTTCCAACCGTCCTTCACTCAACTCAAATATCATGTCACTGAGATCGAACAAGTCGTGCACACCATTGTTCCCCGGTATTCCAGGGCAGCTTTCGAAAATTTCCTCATTGTCAAATATGAATTCATATCGAGCGGCATTTCCGAATGCCAACAGGAGGAGATAGGCGATAATAAATATTGAAAACATTTTCATATTTCAAATACAGTCCGAACATGATTATTTATATGGCTGTTGATGTTTGATCGTTGTTGGTTCCGATTAATTGTGCTTAATTGGAACATTCACATCACATTCATTTCCAACATGCAAGATTAATTAGAAAAGGTAAATGAATTGGAAGTGGTCGAATTGAATGTACTCTGCGACATGGGGAAAATTTTATGGCAATCGGGGGAAAATAGCGTTCAATGGGAATGTGGAATCAAACATGGAAGCGTGAAATCAAATATAGGTATTACAGGCTGACATGAAAAAACTGCAACCAACTTCAGACAGCTGTCATTTCTAAACCACTGTTCCGACAGTTGTAAAAATTATTCCAGTGACAGTTCATTATATTGTTTACAAGCGTACAAAAGCATTTTGGTGAGCATTTTGCAGAAAAAAAGTTATTCGTGATGGAATTCAAGCGTGATAGTGTGATTTCTTTATATTTGGCTGGAAAGCCACAAGTGACTATCGTTAGAGCACTCCAGTATTTAAATGTGAATAAATCTTTTGTGTCTCGTACCATCGCTCGTTACCGCGTTGCCGTGATACTGGTAGCGTAGCCCAACAAGGGCTACAGCAATATTAGCAGAAATGGTTCGAAAAGTAAAGAAGCGACTTGATCGAAACCCGCGTCGCAGTCGTCGAAAAATACCTCGTGAGCTGAATATATGGTAATATTCCATTCGGCAAATATTGAAAAATGAGCTTACCCCGAGCCATCGAAATTCCAAAAAGTGCAAGAACTTATATCGCAACAAAGAGTTGCTGCGCTTGGACGAGGCCAAAAGTGGTGAACTACCTAATTTTGTTTTCACCATTGATAAAATATTCGTTGTCCAGCAGTTTGTAAACAAACAATATGATCGCGTTTACTTGCCAAAGAGGATAGCTGAAAATATGCAACTTCAAGCGCCGGTCATGGGATGGTGTGGGCCCCCATAACAGCCAATGGCCGCTCTCCGCTCGTATTAATCGACCGTGGCATCAGCATAAATGCCGAATATTATTGCCATAATATTCTAGAGCCTTGGGCACGCAAACATTTTGGTCGCAGACCTTGGATATTCCAACAGCACCATCGCACTCAGCACGCGCCACCCATAAAAATGGTTACAAAATGACGTCCCTCGCTTCATTTCCAGCGCACAATGGTCACCAAAATCTCTTTTACCAATCCGTTGGACTATTGTGGCTGGAGTATTTTGGAAAGCAAGGTTGGCACTAAAAAATACCAAAGTGTCAATCACCGGAAGCAAGCGTTTCATGCAGCGCGTGACGGTTTCATTTGCCGTTTAAAGGACATAATTCGACTTTGACTTTGTTGCAGTTTTTTATCTTACTCTATATTGCGATGTGTGTAATTTAAAGAGAACCGGATGCTTATTTCGAATTTTATTCAAAATTTTGACCCTTTATGGGAGAGATACCAGAAGGAATAGTCCGATCTCTTCCATCTTTATAACAGATCTTGTATTGATGGAAAGGAGTGGACCGATACATTCCATCTTCGCTCGCACCTTCTGTAGCACTGATGCAAATATTAGGATTTGCAAAGTTGTAGCAAAATCGGATTATCGGAGTGGATCGATATTGCACATCTCCGAACTCGATCTAAATTTGACAAAAATATTACGATGTACCAATTTTGCATTAAATCGGACACTTCCTTCGAGAGTTATCGTGAACACCAACCAACCAGCCGGACAGACAGACGGACACCGCTAAATCAACGCCAAATGCCCTAAAACGGATTTGGTCCAAAGAGACCTAGGGTCTAAAACCGTTATTTCGATGAGGCACGTTTTGGTCGTATCAAATGATTTATACCCTCTCTAGCCACATGCCTTTCTTGACTTGATACTAGTCGAAATAACGGATTAAGACCCTAAGTCACTTTTGACCAAATCCGTTTCAGGACGTTTAGAGTCGATTTAGCGATGATGTATTTTTGACAAACATAGATCGAGTTTGGTGATGGGCAATATCGGTCCACTCCTTCTGGTACCTCACCAACAAAATGCCAGAATTCTAAAAGAAAACAATTTTCTGCACAGAAAGAGAAAGGATAATCCGATTTTGCTCCAATTTTGCGAATCCTAATATTTGCATCAGTGCTGGATCAGGTGCCAAAATGGACAATATCGGCCCACTCCATCAAATACCTCCCCCACAAAGGGTCATAATTTTGAATAGTTATAATTATTTTAAAATGTGATGTAAGTGTCCAAATGTCTTTAAATTACACACAATATTTTTACCAATCCATGGTCAAATGTGAAGATGAAATATATCGGTCTACTCCTTCTGGTACCTCCACCACAAAGTGTCAACATTTTGAATATCCATGAAGCTCATAAAATATGAAATTAACATCCTTTTCCATTCAAACTTGACACATTTTAATATTTTCATAAATACAAGATCTGTTATAAAAATGGTAGAGATCGGACCGTTGCTTCTGGTAACTCCCCCAAAAAGGGTCAACATTTTGAATGATCAAAATGCTGTGAATATGGGGTATATCGGTTCAATCCTTCTGGTCCATGTCCATGAAGCTTATAAAACTCGACATTAACATCCGATTCCATTCAGACATGGTATGTACCATGTCTATATTTCCATAAAGGTAAGATGATATATTTTTGCCACCCCTTCTGGTATCTCACCCACAAAGGGTCACAATTTCCGATACTTATATCTGTCGTAATTTGCGAAACAAATCGGCGATTCTTTACAACTTCCTATATATAAATATTTCTCTTTAATAGAAATCTGATATGAATATGTAATTTATCGGAATTTTTGATTTCGCATAAAATTGGATATGAATGTTCGATTTCCTTCAAATTTTGCAGATACCAATATTTTAGCTGCATTTTTTTGGATGAAGTATGAAAATGGAATACTTCCGTCCGCTATATCCGTTAGCTCACGCATATTTCCACATTTTCCAAAAATTTGCTCATATCTCATATAAAGTATAGCAAGTAGTCGATGTATTCCAAATCTGGTTCGTTTTAATATTTATATCAGTCTTAAGGTCAGATACGAATTGCTTCGGAACCTCCTTCATAAATGGTCAACAGTTTAAATAATCATAATTCAAAGCTGAGGGTATACAAGTGTCGGCAAAACCGACTGATACTATTTTACTTGTTTTATCTTTTATCTGTCGTTCAAAGTTGTACCATTTTGTACCTTTTTGTATTTCTTATACCTTCAAGTAGGAATGTAATCATGCAAACTTTTAAAGTCCTAGCTTGTATTAACGGCCCAATGTCGTACTCTTTCGTATCTGTAGTACTTTTCGTTTGCTGGAATTGTGAATCTCCCTTAGCTGAAGAATTTCAATTTCAAACAATCAGCCCTCACTGTTTGCACAGTGTGAATATTGTGCCTTTTAGTACTATTTTGCCATAACATCTTTTCGCCTTTCCTCGTACTATTTAGTGCCCTTTTATACTTTAAGTGCCAAATTTCGAATATCTTGCTATCACACCCTTAAACGCAAAGCTGTTGAATTCTATTCGACATCTAAGCATTTATTACGATTGGTACCTTTTTAGTGCCTAGTATAACATTTAAGACCTTATTTTACTACATAGCGTAAAGAGATTCTTTCGGGTAGTATCCAATATTATATTCCAAATTTCATAAACATTGTTCTATTAGTACAATATTTAGTACTTTATTTCACCACTTAGCGGCAAAAGTTACTCTCGTGCAAAAATTTAAAAATTCTAACTCTTTCCAAATGCTCAATGTCAATTTAGTAACTTTTAGTACTTTTCGTGTACAAATTTCCAAAAAAGATTTTAAAGCTCTAGTTTTTACCGTACGTGCCATTTAGTGCATTTTGGTTCATTTCATACCTCTTAAGTACAAAATTCCAAAAATTCCTCTTTATCTCACACTTAACACCATCAATGACCCTCATGCAAAATCTTAGAAATCTTGCTTAATTCCTTCACATTTAGTACAATAGGGACAGTACCAAAAATACTCTCATACAAAACTATGTTTCCAATTTCAGGATTAGAACTATAATCCTGAAATTGGAAACATAGAGTACAATATTAAGAACATTTTAGAACAACAGGGTGAGATGAAAAACTGCAACCAACTTCGGCCTGCTGTCATGCTGTCCGAAAGCTGTTAAAATTATTCCAGTGACAGCTCATTATATTGTTTACAAGCGTACGAAAGCATTTTGGTGAGAATTTTCCAGAAAAAAAAGTTATTCGTGATGGAATTCAAACGTGATAGTGTGATTTCTTTATATTTGGCTGGAAAACCACAAGTGGCTATCGTTAGAGCACTCCAGCATTTAAATGTGGATAGATCTTTTGTGTCTCGTACCATCGCTCGTTGCCGTGATACTGGTAGCCTACCCGACGTCAATGAAATGGATTGAAGAAAACAGCACCATCAGCAAAAATGGTTCGAAAAGTAAAGAAGCGACTTGATCGAAACCCACGTCGCAGTGGCCGAAAAAGGGTTCGTGAGCTGAAAATATCGCAATATTCCATTCGGAAAATATTGAAAAATGAGCTCGGGGTAAAGCCATTGAAATTCCAAAAAGTGCAAGAACTTACACCGCAACAAAAAGAAAATAGACTCAAAAGAGCTAAAGAGTTGCTTCGCTTTGCTGAAAGTGGTGAACTGCCGAATGTACACCTTCGGTTGGCCACCAGAACTCAAGCCTCAAGTCGGCCATGGTGATGGTGTGGGCCGCCATAACATCCGATGGTTCCTCTCCGCTCATAATAATCGACAGTGCCATCAGATTAATGTCGAATATTACAACGAAAATATTTTGGAGGGTGTATAAAAGGCTTGGGCACGAAAACATTTTGGACGCAAACCTTGGACATTCCAACAGGACTCAGCACCATCGCACTCACCACGCGCCACCCAAGAATGGTTACAAAATCAGGTTCCTCGCTTCATTTCCAGCGCACAATGGCCACCAAAATCTCCGGATACCAATCCGTTGGACTATTG